CAGCGTTAGAAAATCGGGCCTTCAAAATAAAAGTTTGACTTTTTTCTCAAAAAAAAGAAAAAATTCCAATTTTTTTTTCCTTCACTCACACATCCGCGACCCACTAGAAACGGGTCCGGACCCACCAGTTGAGAACCACTGTTCTACAGTACATTGTTGGTTACTGTGAATATCTACAGTACATTGTTGGTTACTGTGATTATTTACAGTACATTGTTGGTTACTGTGATTATTTACAGTACATTGTTGGTTACTGTGATTATTTACAGTACATTGTTGGTTACTGTGATCTTCTACAGTACATTGTTGGTTACTGTGATTATCTACAGTACATTGTTGGTTACTGTGATCTTCTACAGTACATTGTTGGTTACTGTGATTATCTACAGTACATTGTTGGCTACTGGGATTTTGTACAGTTGGGACGTTACTACTGATATTTTTAAAGTAACTCCAGAGGTACTGTAATTTTTGGTTGGAAACATGGTATTATACTCTAAAATAGTATAGAGTAATTTACTGTGCACAAACACTGTAAATAACTGTGCCATTTTTTACAGTGTGCCTCTTCACCCACACCCACTTCCGAGCCCACATCACCCCTGCCCTTCAAAACCTGCACTGGCTCCCCATCCGTCAATGAATACATTTCAAGATCTCCTCGTGACCCACAAAGCACTCAACAACCAGCCCCCTCCCAACCTCACTGACCTGCTCCACCACCACACCCCCTCCCGCAGCCTTCGCTCAGCAGAAGCCAACCTCCTTTCTATCCCCAGGCGAACCACGGACCTGTGGTGACATAGCCTTCTCCATCTCTGCCCCCACCCTCTTGAACTCCCTCCCACAACAAATCAGAGCACTGACCTCCCCACCTTCGAAACACTGACCAAAACTCACCTTTTAGCTTTTAACTTGTGATTGATGACCTGTTCTTATGACTAATGTGTTTTTTTAAACTTTATTTTCTTACATCTGTAAAGCGTATTTGAGCACCTGATAAAGCGCTTAATAAATAAAATGTATTATCATTATTATTATTATTATTATTACATTAATTAAAGAGCTGGAGTTTTTTGTTTCTCTTCAGACTGTGATTTCTTGAAATGTGAAAAAAACACATGAATAGCTTAAAATACAATAACCTGTTAAATACCAACCAATAGTATCTGACCTTTTTGTTTTGTGACAATGAATTGTAAGGAATTTCGCCAACTTTATATAAGAGTTAGAGCCTACATTTCACAAAACTACGATTTTAGCAATGTGTTAACAACAAAAATGTGTTTAGTAGAATTTCATTTTTTCTTATTGTTTACCCTGTTCCCACCCTCTTCAGATGTTTTATGTTACATTGAAAGGATCTTTATACCCTGGTTGTGACATTGTACTGCACCCTTCACCAAAGCTCTACTGAGATATAGCTGGACATGCTTCAGTCAAATTCCAACTCTGTTATTTCTGAAGGTATTTCAAAGATAAATGTATTCATCAGCTCACCTGAAACATTTGACAATCTATTTCCACTCGTATCTGCAGAATCAAAGCCCTTGAAAGTCCAAGCAAAGAAGACGACACAAAATGGCTGACGTACTGGGTGGTGTATGGCGTCTTCAGCCTCGGAGAGTTCTTCTCTGATATTTTCCTCTATTGGTTCCCATTCTACTACGCTTTTAAGGTGAGAAAAGACTGAAGGACCAATGATTGTTTCAAATTATTGTAAGCTTACCTTTGTATAACTTCAACAGAACTTAATTTAGTGTGAATTCTGCCCATTTTAAGGGCAGTTAGAATCGCTAAATGGAATTACAGATGTGTAAAGAGGTCTGGAATCTAGGCTGACGAATCAGATTCAAGATGTACATGAATATCAAGGTTCAAGGTTCAAGGCTTTTATTTGGCATACGTACATAGCTACAGTGTAGTTATGTCGATGAGAATCTTAGGTCACAGGCTCCACCAACAGTGCAACACAATAAAACTGAAAAAATAAATACAAACAAAATAGTGAAATAGTGCAATAAGAGTCTACAAGTGATTGGAATATGATATATTAGATTAAGTTGCAGCCAGATGAATGTTATGGATGTTCTTTACAGAGTTCAGGTGTTTAATAGTCTTCTGGCCTGTGGAATGAAACTGTCCCTGACCCTTGTGGTTTTAGTCCTGATGCTGCAGTACCGCCTGCCAGACGGCAGCAGACAGAACAGTTTGTTGCTGGGGGGATGGGGTCTTTGATAATCCTGAGGGCTTTCTTCCTGAGCCGCTGGGAGTAAAGGTCCTCCATGGATGGCAGCTCCGTCCTGGTGATGTGCTGTGCAGTTTTCACCACCCTCTGTAGAGTCTTACGATTGAAGGTGGTGCAGCTGCCGTACCAGGCCGTGATGCAGCCAGACAGGATCCTCTCTATGGTGCACCTGTAGAAGGTGACGATGCTCTCTATGGTGCACCTGTAGAAGGTCAGGATGCTCTCTATGGTGCACCTGTAGAAGGTCAGGATCCTCTCTATGGTGCACCTGTAGGTCAGGATCCTTTCTATGGTGCACCTGTAGAAGGTCAGGATCCTCTCGAAGTTGCAGAGTATCCTGGAGTCCATGTTGAACCTCCTCAAAGAGCCGTTGTCGAGCTGTTTTTGTTTTGGTGTTTGTGTGACGAGTCCATGTCAGGTCCTCAGTGAACAGTCCATGTCAGGTCCTCAGTGAAGAGCCCATGTCAGGTCCTCAGTGAAGAGTCCATGTCAGGTCCTCAGTGAACAGTCCATGTCAGGTCCTCAGTGATGAGTCCATGTCAGGTCCTCAGTGAAGAGTCCATGTCAGGTCCTCAGTGATGAGTCCATGTCAGGTCCTCAGTGATGTGGACATGTAGAGCTGCTGACTCTCTCCACCGTAGTCCCATTGATGGCGATGGGGGCGTGTCCCTCTCTCTGCTGCTTCCTTTAATCCACAATCAGCTCCTTGGTTTTGCTGACGTTGAGATGGAGGTTGTTATCCTGGCACCAAGATGTCAGGGTTTCGACTTCCTCTCTGTACGCCGTCTCATCGCCGTCGGTGATCAGGCCAATGACGGTCGTATCGTCAGAAAACTCTCACAATGGTGTTGGAGCTGTGTGAGCAGTATAGTAAACCAAGTCAATCCATTTCTGATCTTTGTGGTTCCAGTGTCTTTTCCTGTTGTGGTGCATGGCTCCTATCTCGTGGAATGGCTCCCAGGTAATCTACAACAAAGTGATTCGGCCCATCTTCCTCCGCTATGAGGCTGTGGTGGACGACATGGTGAATGACATCGGCGGGAGGGCGATGAGTGCTGCTGAGGACATCACCAGAGAAGGTAAAGACCAGTTCAACACCAGTTAATTGTGTTTTTTTATTAAATATGTGAGTACTTGAATATTTCTGCTTTTCTTCAGTCCTGTGCACTCTGATGAAGAATAAAGCTGTGGTAGCGCTGTCACCCGCTCAGCCTGAAACCAAAAGTTTACCGAGTTCATCAACAGCTACAGTAGCTCCTTCAGATTCAAAAGAAGAACAACCAGTACGTATACCCCAGCTGCATCACCCACCTTCTGAAAATAAGTCCAACCTGAAGGCCTCTGTATGCTTTAAATGAACTGAACACTGGACATAGTGGACACTGGACATAGCTTTCTGTTACCCCTTTTTCTAGCATTTCTGCTAATCTAATCAGGTCTTGAATCAAGTTCAGTATCTTCAGTATAGCACTTCATCAGTCTAACCATGACTGCTGACATTTCAATCCTTCTTTCTCTGAAAGAGTTAGAGCATTCAGATTTTCAGTACCTTCTTGTAAAAACGGCTGCTCAAAGTTCCAGTTCTGTATTTATTAATGAATTGGTTTGGTGTTTGGAGATCTAACCAGTTCAGACAGCCACTCAGACTCTAATTTTCATTACATAATTCAGTCATTTTCATGCTTTTTTAGCAAACATGGTGACTTGTTTGTCCATCCCACACAAGAACTGGAGTGACCAAATACTTCGCAAAACAAAGTTCTTCAAAAGTGTTTCTAGTCAGTCTCTGATTGTGTTACTTTATTATGAGAGTGCTCTTATACTTGTTTGATTCTGATATTGTATATTTTTATATAAATATATGTGTGTGTGTCCGCATCTGTAGCCTGTTATTGTCTCATTATACCGCACTGTGAATGAATTAAAAGTAAATATATAAGTGGTCATGAACACATCTGTCCTCCGCTCGCATCTCCTGTGGGTGGGAATAAGACATGAGGATAGGAGTCAAGGAGGGGAATTAGAGAAATTAGAAACCTTCTCTGTCTTTTAACCTATTTCCTTCTGTCCCCTGATCCTCCTCAGCAATGGTCCTTATTTTGGGTGCATAATAATGACCGTGGCTGAGGAGGATCAAGGGACAGAAGGAAAGAGGTTAAGAGGTTTAACAGAGCGTTGGATGTCACAGAAATCAACAGAAGACAGACAGGAAGTTAACATTGACAGGAACAGCATAAGAAGACAGACAGGAAGTAAACACCAACCCTTTCTCATTTCTCAGTTAGCAGCTCCTCGACTCCTCTCCTCGTCTTAGTCCCGCCCACAGGAGATGCAAGTGGAGGAGTCGAGGAGGGGAACCGAGGAGAGAGGAGGGGAAGCAGCAGGAGTTTAGAGAAATGAAAAAAAAGGAGACTAATATCCAGCGGAGATGTGATTAGTGAGTAAACAAACGGTAAAGGGCAGATAGTCTAACGGACATTTAAATAACTTATAATCAGAACGGAACAGTTTTCCCCCGGAGGATACATCAGTGTACCCTCGGTTATAGCTCCTCCAGAGAGCCTCCTCGATCCTCGATTTTCGATGCGCATCTAGAGAAATAAGATGTCCTTCAAGATGGCTCGCCGACATTGATTATCGGTTCACTACCGAGGAGTCGAGGATTAGACAGTATGGACTCTGCAATGTTTAAGGCAACCCGATATCACGGCAAGAGGTGAACATGTGACGATTTACCATGCTGGGAGACGTAAAGATGTCACGATTTCGTCCCTTCAAACGTGACAGTTACACGGTATTGTTAACCCATGTTAACCAGTGGAAAAATACCGGAAATGCCAAGCAAATGCTACCCCGACGGTCGGTTGTTATTGTCAATATTAATATAATAATGATTTATTTTGTAATAGTCACACTCGATTAAGCTGATGTGGAATTAACGGACGTGACGTTGTGCGATTGAGTTGCCAGGCAACAGCTTTGGTTCATGTTGATTTACAAACTCTTCAACTACAACCGTAGTTATATTTAAAAACATGTTAGAATGCCTCACAAAATACTTTAATGCTAATTAAAATGTAAATGTGAAGGAATGTGTGTATAACAAAATACATCGGTGATAAACGAAACTGGAAACTGACGTAGGCAAGATCCTCAGCTCGATGGTTGGATGGTTTAGCCGCAATGCATGCTGGGATTTGATGTTTATGTGATGTGAAATCTGAAAACCTTTTTAAAAAATAAAATAATACTTTATTCCGAGTGTGCTTGCT